TCGCACTCTGACTGTCACTGTGCAAGACACTCTCTTTTTGAGTGAAACCCAACTCTACTAACAATCCTTGAAGCCATATCAATTCTTTACTGGCTTCTGTCACTGCTACATACTCAGCCTCTGTAGTGGATAAAGCAACAATCTTTTGTATCTGCGACATCCAACTAACAGTTGTAGCTCCGACAGTGAAAACATAACCGGTGGTGCTTCTTCGGTGATCAACTTCGCCTCCAAAATCTGCATCTACGTAGCCCTGTAACTTTAGATCTCCTTTTCTAAAATACAGACATTTTCCTGTTGTGCCTCGTAGATATCTCAAGATCCATTTGACTGCTTCCCAATGAGCTTTTCCCGGTTTTGACATAAACCTGCTCACAACTCCCACTGCATGGCCAATGTCTGGCCTCGTACAAACCATCGCGTACATCAAACTTCCAATGGCTGAAGCATAAGGAATCTTAGCCATGAACTCTTCTTCTTCTTTTGTTTGAGGAGACTGATTCTTGGATAAACGAAAATGGCTGGCCAAAGGTGTACTGACTGGTTTGGCCTTGTCCATGTTAAATCTCTGCAAAACACGGTTGATGTACTCTGTCTGAGATAACTGCAAAACCCCTTTTTGCTTATCTCTTGTGATTTGCATTCCAAGAATCTTCTTTGCTGGGCCTAAGTCCTTCATGTCAAATTCTTTTGACAACTACATCTTTAAATTTCTGATGTCTTTCATATTTGATTCTGCTACTAACATGTCATCGACATAAAGTAGCAATATGATATAGCTGGACTCATATTTCTTGAAGAAACAACAGTGATCAGCATTGCACTTCTGGAAACCTTCCTTGTGCATGAAGCTCTCAAACTTCCTATAACATTGTCTTGGAGCTTGTTTCAATCCTTCTTTCCGTCTAAAAAACCTTCAGGCTGGTGCATATAGGTCTCCTCATCTAGATCTCCGTGAAGAAATGCAGTCTTCACGTTTAATTGCTCAAGATATAGCTCTTCACTAGCCACAATACTTAACACAGTCCGGATAGTATTGAGCTTTACAACTGGAGCAAAGATTTCAGTATAGTCAACTCCTTCTTTCTGCTGAAATCCTTTAACAACTAGTCGGGCTTTGTATCTCCTGGAACCATCATGGTCTTCCTTCACCCGATACACCCATTTGTTATGAAGTGCTTTCTTTCCCATGGGTAACTTGACTAGTTCCCATGTCTGATTTGAGATCAAGGACTTCATCTCGTCCTTCATGGCAAGCTCCCACTTGCTAGCATTCGGGGTTTGACAAGCCTCCTAATAGTCTTCAGGTTCTCCTCCATCGGTCAACAACATGTAGTCCATGTATCTTCTGTTAGGTACATGGGGCCGAGAGGACCTTCTCAATACAGGAGTTGGAGTAGAAGGTTCTGATTGCTCACCGCCATCTTCATTGGATTCCTCTGACCGGGGATTCCTTATTATAGGAATGTCTGGAATATCTTCCACCTCTGCATAAACTGGCCCACTCGCTTCTGAGTTGCTGGCACTTGTGTTATGCCGGTCTTTGTACATCACTCTTTCATTAAATATGACATCTCTGCTGCGGATCATCTTTTTATTTTCATAATCCCATAAGCGGTAGCCAAACTCATCTTCACCATAACCAAGAAAAGTACATTTCTTTGATTTTGGATCAAGTTTGTTTCTACCATGATCACTGATGTGCGCATATGCTACACAACCGAGAACTCTAAGATGTGAGAGTTTTACTTCTTTTCCGCTCCATACCTCTTCTGGTAACTTGTGATCCAATGGTACCGATTGACTTCGGTTGATCAAGTAAGTTTCTGTGTTGACTGCTTCTGCCCAGAACTGCTTTGGTAGGCCTGACTGCACATGCATGCTTCTGGCTCTTTCAGTCAACGTTCGATTCATACGCTCAGCTACACCATTGTGTTGAGGCGTACCAGGCACGGTTCTCTCCATTCTGATTCCGTGCTCATAGCAAAACTTCGTGAATCTGGTGGTTACGTATTCACCACCATTGTCGGATCTGAGCTTCTTGATCTTCAAGCCAGTCTCATTTTCAACCATAGCTTTCTAAATCTTGAAAGCTTCAAATACTTCTGACTTGTGTTTCAGAAAGTAAACCCATACCTTTCTGGAGTGATCATCGATAAAAGTCACGAAGTATTGCTTCCCACCAACGGATGGGACAATCGTTGGACCCCAAACATCAGAGTGGACGAGCTCAAGCATCTCCTTCTTTGGGGTTCTTCTACTTGTCTGAAAGCTGACTCTCTTCTGCTTTCCAA